TGGAATTAACTGATATATTTTTATGCTTTTTACACTTTTATATATTATATTGTTTATTGCTCAATAGGTTCTTCTATAATAATAAATTAAACACAACTTTTGAAAATATTAATGTAATAGCTGAAGTGCTGGTGTGCTGCTGGTTAAAATGTAAATTTTTTCGACGTTTTTATGTGATAATTTGGTACCTGGGTACCTGTTTTAAACAGTGATGTAAATCACCCTTAATCTCAGTCGTTGTTGTACACGCACATGAACTGTACGAACAACTATATTAACAACCTTCTTTAAGACGTGATCAGTAATCACACTAATTACTAGCGGATGATTTGATGTTAATTGTTTACATATTATTAAGTATTGACGTGTCAAACACGGTAGGTAGCAGGTTAAGGTTTCCAAAACAGGTGCATCGCTCATATTATATAGAATGGAATATGTGACAAAAAGTCAATACAAAATATAAATTATTTATTATAACTTGTACTCTCATTGAATGTCTCCACGCGGCCACGCCAAATACCGACGGTCGATTACCACAATACCGCCCCGATCGGAAGTATAAAGTCATTATGGATTAATATTCTTTTGGGTAAATAAAACGTCCTACGCAACTGTCAAACATCACTCAATTAATTTTACGGCAGTGTGATAGGTGCGGGAATCCATCCCTCGTGTCCTATATAATAATATATTCGTATTTTTTTCCATATAATATACTTAAATATATAGTGATTTTATTCCTCATATCCTGCTGGAAAGTGTATTATCTCCGTGTGGTTGCAAAGGGGGTAGATAGGTAAACAGAGACTCAGACGTGTAGAAAAATATTTATATTAAAAGAATATATATTGATTTTGCTCATGATGGCCATCCGAAAAAAAGTTATTAAAATGACACACATACACAGCACATAATACACAATATACGCTATATACTTATACATTTTAGGTTACTTAAACGCAGTTGTAGACATAAATCATGTATACAAAACTGCTTATTGAGTAACTTGGGGGGAAACACACGCTGCCAATATTTTGGTGGGATTTTGAAACATATTACACAGGTAAGTATAGATTTTTACTTATATTATACATTTATACCTACCAGTTGGATTTTCTTCTCGGTACTATTTTTTTTCATCGAGCAAAGCCGAATATGTTCAATACCGAATACTTTTATACATAGTTTCATCAAATCAAATGTTATTTAGTGTCGATCTGGTTCACGATTGGGTCTCTCGCCCAGTAATTTTAAATGGGCCCCGACGGCCCATACAAACTTAAAAACAAAACTATCTACCTTTTAATACGTTGCAATACAATTATTTTATTTTTAATTAAAAAATAATGTATTACCTAAAAATATTATTTGTTATGATAATTATTAAGAAACATATTATAATATCAACGAATGACAATGTTTTACATATTAGATATTTATACAATTTGCACACATAAAATAATATACCTTATTGTAAAAAAAATCTACAGACATTAACATAACTTTAATTTAATAAATTACAAACTTTTATTAAAAATTTTAAAAAAATTTTAATTCGTATTCGTCTATAAGTTGAATGATGTCTTCTTCAATAATTAACAAACATTCAATTTAAAGAATCCAGATGCTGTTGGCTTATCAAAGATCTAAGTTAAGTTTTTAATATTTAACGTAACATAATCTTGAAAATACTTATATTAACTAATATTTTTGTTTTCAAAGTTTAAAGAGAACACACATTAGTCCTTAATGTTTGCCGCTGTTCGCACCTGTGAAATTGAAACAGCGAACATTTTATATATAAACAGGTACGTGTATGTAACAGTAACTCCGTCGAGATTATCTTATGAATAATGATGTCATCGATACAATAAAATGTACTTCCATATCTAATAAATAATATTAAATTATTATTACTATTTTTTCTTTTATTAAACAAATGTATTTACAAACAATGTATTATTTATACAATAAGTAATTATCCTGCAATGGCCACACCTTATTTTTTATTTTAGTATTTGAAAAACTGGTCTGCTGTATTAAATAAGTATACCTACCGCAGACCTTGGAAAGTTGGAAAAAATAAGTCTCATGAGTCATGACCAGGGCTCGGGACTCTCTGCATTTGCATATTTGTTCGGGAAGTAAATAGAATAAATCTGATTTAATCTGATCAAATTTGTGTTGTGGTGTTTGAACTTAAAGTTTAAAATGTTGATTGTGCATAATTCTGCATATTTTGGATTTTATTCTACACATTCATATTTTTAAGATTTATTGGTTTTCATTACATATTTTTAAATAATTTTTGATTACTTACTCGTAAATCAATTTTTTACTAAATTAGTAAATTAAAAATATAAATGTAAAATTTTCATTTTTGACCAGTTATAAAAATCTTATTTAGAAAACAAAATATGCGTCGGTTGGTAAAGAAGAAAATTCTAAGTTTTAAAAAATCCAAAGACATCCCATTCAACAGTTTGGCCTTTTTAAAAATAATATTGTACGTATAAGGTATACATTTTTAGTAGTGTGTATAAGATAGGTTTTTTTAATATATATTTTTATAAGTACGTCTTTTTAATTAAAAATAAATGCATATTTAAGAGCATATTTTTATATTTTTTGGTGCTTATAATATGTATGAGCATATTTTTAAAATTTTAAGCATATAAAGCCGCCATCCCTGGTCATGACCAATGTCTAGTCCCTTTTAAGACGGCGTGAGGTGTTAACTGATATTGATAAGAATAAAGAAAGCCATTTTTTAGATAGTTGCAAATAAATTTTCATATTGGTCAATTGATTTACTTCTCTCTCAGTTTGTAACCAAAGATCTTTATGATTCTTTAAGGATAGGTTTGTAACGTATGCCAGGCAGCATTTGATAATCTTTGCTTGGAATGCCTGTAGAGTTATATTATTATATACAATACACATTTATGTAACGACAGGTAATGGCGTAAACAGTAATTTTGTAATGTGCCCAACCCCCCTCACTAGTACCACTAAAAAATCCCCATTAAACTTTAATTCGCTTACACTTTTTGTAAAATTTTATTTTTAAATATAATATTATAATGTAGGCTAAAATAAACACTGTCAATAGAAGGGGGACTATATAGTCTTTATAACCCTCCTTCTAGGCTTAGCCTCTGACGACAGAATAATAATGTAGCGGTCGCTCATTTTGAAACCAGACCATTTGAGTCCATTAACCGAATGAGTCGATTAAGCAAAGGTCTCAAAAAAATTGAAAATGTATACTTATTTTCTTAAAAAATATTTATTGAGATTTCAGCTATGATGTAACTAAGTCTATAGTAATAAAGAGAATGTATGATGTTTAATAGGAAAAAATTTTGTTTAAATAAAAATAAAGTAGGTAGTAAAATATTGTACCTACAAGTATGATTAGGTACTGTGCAAATGATGAATTTACTAATAATTTATTTAAATATTTGTCTGCTTTGAAGTTGTCATTAATTTGTTTGATACCTACTTTGTTCTAGATGTATAGTAGTTTTATTTATTTTGTTTGTACCTTCGTACTCTAAGCTCGAGGGTTCTATAAATTCGGTGTATTCTCCATCATTTGTTAATGCTTTAATTAGTTTAATTTAAGTAATATAATTAGGTCGTTTCTTCTGCACAATCTTATTTAATCTCCCATGTCATAACTCTAACTTATTATTGGCCTCAAGCTTGTTCAGAGATGGGTCTTTGGGTAAAAATTGACCCAGATACTCGCAGATCATTGGGTTCCTTAGGGCCCCACTCGTCCATGCAAAAAAAAAAGCCACCTTAGGTAAGTGTAATAACAATAGTTTATAAACTATAAGAGTTATCATCATATTTTTGTGAAAAGTATATACCTAGATTTAATATCCTGAAATAAAATTTAAATAAAAAAGGGCTCTTTGCATGATTCTGCCCCGGGCCCCTAAATATATCTGAACGGGCTCTAACGGGCCCGATGACGATATGAAAAGCAATTTCATATATAAGATTTAGTAATAAATATATTTGAGTTATCCATTCGGTGTTTAATAAAATAATTATTAAAAAGTACGATTTTATTATTATTTTGAACCTACATAACATAACCAACCATTTTATAATTGTATATGAACAGGCTAGTGCCACACACATTATTATAATATGGCATTTCACTTCTTTGCGTTACTTACATATTCGTCTACCACATCCTGCAAGTCTTGCACTTTTCGCCATAGGCTTTGATTAAAATTATAATTGCATCCATACATTAAGATTCATAGATATATATACATTGTAATAGCTGCAGCTAACCATATAATTTCTTCTAATATTTGAAGGACTTTAAAATAAAATGATAAATAATGTATACTTGACATAATCATTTTTAGCGGATATTCCACCTTGTATATTTTACTGTGATAAAGATTACGAAAACTAGCGGGAATAGAGCAAACAAAATACGCGACACCGATAAGAAATAGGTATTCTCTACGAAAACAACTAAAATTATTTTTGCGAGATGCTACTGAATCTATTGTGGCATTGATCGGTATAAACTATAATGGATCAAATATTTATAATAAACAAATATAGTTTAGGTAACACTATAGGTAACAACTAGCAAGCCATACGAAAACCAACAATTTATTTATCGGTACCCATATAGTTTTAAGAGGCATTGTGGCGACGAGCTACAGAGAAAATATATTTATTTTGGATTAGGTATGCATAGGTGCCCATTATAAATGCAAAAACAATAGAGATATTGATAGAAATCTATTGTCTTTTTTCTATCGTGGTCATTACCACACTGTCACAGTCTGTATAGTCCTCCAATAATCCACCAACACATATTCCGTTGATTATATAATAATATTATAATACCTACCATAATATATGATTCCAGAACTGCAATTTTAGTCAGGTAGGTATATATAGATATAGGCGTATATCGGAACTAGAAACATTTTTACTACTATATTAAAAAATATATATATGTATATAATTCTTATTTATGTATCTCATAAAAAAAAACACGTCTATACATAAAACAATTCATAATAAATGTACACAACTAAATACATCATATGAGCGGTCACATTGTTCGATACCGCGGTTTAGGTGGGTACCACACGGCGGTGAACAACATGACTTAAAACGGTTACGTTATCGGCGAGAACGCGGCCGCGATGTATACTATAATTTGACAATTTTCGCTCCGGACGACGGCGAGACTGTGTAGAACTTCGGGCTTCCTTTGTACTCCGAACTAATGGCGCTGACGACCGCGTTGACGGCAGCTCGGTCCACCTGGAAAAGCACGAAACAACGAAATATCAACAACAATGTTATAATTACACAGCGCGGACGCTCGTAACAATTCCATAATATGTATATAATTGCAGTTCTGCGGCACTAACCAATGTGACTGTGCATCCGCCGAAACCTCCTCCGGTCATACGAGACCCAAGGACACCTGGCACTTTTCTGGCCAATTCTACCAACTGATCCAACTCCGGACAGGACACTTCGAAATCGTCCCTGCAAACGAGTAAATAATAACAATAATTATAACTACGAACTACGGAGTCGAGTATGGGTACGAGATAATATGGCGTATTGGCTATTATGATCGTTTTAAATAGTTTTAATCGTTTTTACATTATTACGTAAAATGCATAGCTGTAGTGTTTATGACAGATACGATGATTTTGTGTAACAAATAATAGTGTAACAGTGGCCAGTATAAAGGTGCCGACAATGTGATTTATTATATTTGTTGGACACGAATATTTTAATTTTTCAACACGATCCAGCACTTAGAATATTGCAAAACATATTATTATAATGTTGTAACGCTTAGTAAAGCTTTAGACAACATTTTTCGTTTTTATTAGTTTCCAAAATCCTATGTTTTCTTAGTAACAATCTACAATTTGAACTAGGTCAGGATGATACACAATTGTAGTTTTTATTTTATGATAACTTTTTATAATATTTATTACTTGGTTAGTAACTAACCTAATTGTAGAAGTGGAAAGTACCTACACTTGAGTTCTGAATAGATATACTTGATATAAGTTTTTTTTTAAATATAAATAAACACTAAACAGTCAATTTAGTAAATAATTCATATGCTTAGGATTAACACATCTTTAAAATCAATATTAGGTACTTTAGTTATTAGTATGAATAGGAAAATTACCATGAATGCGTAAGGACAATGAAAGTACCTATAGCATACTATTTTTCAACAAACCTTAAAATTATTTTTTTTTATTTGAATAATAAAAGTAAATACTGAATACAATCGATAACAAAAAATAGACTGTTCCAATTCCAGAATATAAAATAGTTGCAAAAACTGTAACGTCGAGGTAACAATATTTTTAATAAAATATAATGTGCATGAATGTCATTGTATTTTCTTTGCGCATGACCTTGCATTGCGTGCCGATATGTAACAATAAACTATGAAACCGTAACAATAAAAATAAAATCTGCAAATAGGTCCGTGGTTAATAGAATAATATAACGGCCAGCATTTAATTAATAATGAAATTAGAATAATGATATGCAATTTATTATTTAACTGATATTGCTCCAGCAAAAGTTACCAAGTATACTTCAATTAGTTATAATATTACGAAATGTAGAATGTAGAAACATAATATAGTATCATATCATGATAATAATGTTATCTATCATACAGCTAATTATTTTAGGAAAATCCCACATTTTAACTTTACTCATATGCACTCGAAAGTATTTTGTTTTTTATATAATAGATTAGATGTAATAGAGAATCAACAGGCATGAGTGGGTACCTACTAAGCTTTTCTTTTTTTTTGTTCAAAAACATCTGAATACATAATATATTTGCAATATGTTCATGCGTTTTATATACATATTACATAATATCCTTATCACTGTATTTATCGTAATAATTGACAAATTACTAGTTAATAAGTGAGCGGCTATACTATCGTCTATCGCACTATTAGTATCACATCTCAGTACACGTTAATCAAAACCTTTAAAAACATAATACGCAATTGTGATAAACACATAAAAAAAAATGAATATTAAATTACCTTAGCGAGTTATGACTAGCGTTCATCAGTTCACCAAACGATTTGTAATCGCCGCGTTTCAATACATCAGCAGCGGTTTTGGTTCGTTCAATTTCTGTTATTACGTGTCTAGCTCGTTTATATACAATTTCATTAATCTTCCCGCTCGAGTGTACTTCTGTTTAATCAAAGTATAAAAAAAAATTAACACTCCAAGAAATATTTCATACTTATAAAATATTATTATCGCATTAAAATGTTGTTTAATTTACTGTTCAAGAGTTCCATCGTGGCTGACCTGAGACTTTGAACGTTTAACAAGTCGCTTGCTTCTTCACATTGATATCTTCTCAGTTGGTATTGGCTACTAGATAGCTCATGATGAATATTGGAATTAGTTATCAAAAACACGTAATTGGATTCAGTCAATGGAACGGGTTCGTATTGTAATGATCTATAACAAATTAGAAAAAATGAATTACCTTAAAGAAAAGTTATAACAATTAAAAACGTTTACTAATTTTTATAGAAATTAATCGATGAGGTCTAAAGTAAATAAGACGAAAAAATCGATGCTGCATAACCATAATAAGATTGACATCGCTATCAAAATAACGAAACATTTCAAATGTCACGTATAAACAGGAACAGTAAACTTTTTGTATACGTCTTTATCATCCTACGTCCTTTATTAAATAAAACATATTAATCACCCCATCATAAAAAAAAAAATTGTCCCTGGTCCAAACGACAATAAAAACGTTGCATTAAGAATTACATAATTATCATATAATAAACATACTTGCAGTCTATGAGTAAAGCATGACCTTCAATTCCCATTACGGAAATAAATTGGTCCATTATCCCGCAAGGTACTCCAGCGAACATATGCTCTGCTTTTTGACATACCATGGCTTTTTGTACTAATCTGAAAAATGTAATTAACGGTTTTTATACGTCTACGCCTTATTGAAATGCAAACAAAGTTTTTATTACTGAATTGTTTTATTTCCGGTAATAGCTTCGATGAATGAATAAGTAGCTACTTCTAGGGAAGCACTGCTGGACAGTCCACCACCCAAGGGTACGCTGGATAGAATTACGGCATCGAAACCTACTACTATACCTATACAGAAAAAAATTAAAAATAGTTTTATTAATATATTGGGTCTCGGTGCTCATCTTCAATTTTTTCTTTGACTGTGGATTTATTCGAATTTTGATTTTTGGAACTTTTAAAAGATCATATTATTAAACACTTAAATACCATTTTGCGAGCATCCTGTGGCGAAACGAACTTCTTTATTTTAATAAGAATTGAGAACTACCCTTTTTTACAGTAAATATCTAGTTCAATATATAATTTTTATAAAAATTTTGATATATTGATAAATTAAAATTCAAACGAGGACATTTTGGATTACTAAACGGCATGTGCTATGGATAATACTCAATAATAATTCTATAAGTTTAAAATTATAGTAATTGCTATTTATCTATCAAAATTTATAATTTGATAGGTACTCTTTCAATTGTATATAAGAAATCTATGCATTTATAAATGTACTTAAAAAGTTATAAAATCAGAATTTGAACTTGTGCATTATTAAATGGAACATGCATTTCGTTTCTACGCCATACAATAGTATGCAATTGTTCCTTCACAGCACATTTTTCTTTACCAAGTTAAACACATTATCTAAACGACAATAATATACTCCATTCAAAAAATTTAAATTTACTATGTCAAAATAACCTAACAGTCTCTGACGGTCAATTTGTGCGTCACATAAAAATATGTAACGTGAAAAAAACTTTTGTTTTTTCAACTTTTTTGTATGGATTTTATTTTTAAGTTTTACTAGAACACGATTTTATAAGATAATTAAAAAAAATTGTATTTATGCGGATAATCTATTTATTTATACATATCTTAACATTTTCAAGGTGAATGTATATACTTATTTATTTTAACATACAAAAATATTATTCACACAAGTATTTTACTTTTCTAGTAGCAAGTACGAAAGTTCAAATTTTGGTCTGGAAAATTTCGATTTTTTTAAGATTGCAAAGGCAATACAGTATTATAGGTCAATCACCACAGCACCAGTGTGTTGGCCACGGTGAAAAATGTGCCGATAAAGAACAATTGCATAAGTACTATACTACTAAGTTCTATACGTTTTGTCAATCTAATGTTTAATGCAGTATACGTCGTAATATATTATATTATATACCAAAAAATGGCTTCAGTAAAATATTTTGTGCATAACTGTCAATTTTTAAAGGAAAAACACAAAAAAAACTAGCGAATGTTAACTGTTTAGTCTATAATGGTCTCTAATTTATCTATCATCGACGCATTGTTTGTAAAAGACCAAACTAATTAAACAACGTATTATACTTATTCAAATAAACAGTACGTGCCTATGGGTACGCACTTTGGAAGCATGCGATCACTCCTTTGACGTAGTTGGCCCATTTAGGTGTGCCCACGTACAGCGGTTTGACGGTAGGAATTTTAAATTCGGTTTTATTCGAGTCTTCGATTTCCTCGAAATCGTTACATGCAGTAACTACGCGACAAGTGTCACTATTGTTGGCTCGTCCCAACATTATTGTCACCATGGGTAGTGCCTACAAAATTCATATAAATATAATATAATTAACATCACACATTTACACAATAAATCGTGAAAATGATTTCATAAACTCATACTCAATTTACATATTAGCAGGAAAAAAAACCATTTGTGTTGTGAATGCAAGTATATATTTCCAGACAACACATTAACACAAAATTCACGAGCATATCAACAAATTGAAATGGAAGCGGTGGGTAGTCTATTATGTATAGGTATGTATTAAAAGGAATTTTCAATTAAAACGGTAACGATATAATAGGTATATTATAATGACTGTAATCAAGTTTATTTCCTTCGTCCGACGACGTTTAGACTAGTTTCCGGATGGTTTAATAATGGAATACATAGTATACAGGTATAGGTAGTAGTTCAAAAGCCATAAAACAGAGTGCGGACACTCGGCAACATAAATAATACTATATGATACAATATTTATTATTCCTGTTACGATTTTTTTTCGTTATGCACACGTATACTTTTTTCATAAGAATTCTAAATAAATAGAAGTCAATGTTGTTTATCAGCTTCTACTTAAAAAAAAAAATATTTTTTTATTCTACAAATGAAAAAAGGTGAAGAAAACAAGTGGACAGCATTTTAAACGAAGTTCAATATTCAATACTTACAAAAATAAAATTTAAAAATAACAGTTACGTGTTTTAAGTTCAAATAATTGTGAGTTATTATGATAATATATAACTATACATAATTAAGTGTTAAAAGTAGATAGCATGTTCAATAGAATTTCTCATTAATGTAGAGCATTCAACATTTTAGTATCAGCTTCTCTATTTATCTATATATGAGTATACGTTCATTATATTTTACTCTAGTGATAAAAATCAAATAAACATTACACATATAAGTTGTAACGAGCATCTATAATAGTTGGTAATTAACGGTTTTATTTTAAATTATGAGTGAAATGTGTTTTAAAATTTTTTTATGGGTTTGTCATTCTTTCGGTACAGCAAAAATACTTCAATCATTAAATGTTGAGTGTTTTTTTGGTAGTAAATTGGAATTTATTATTAAATTAACTAGAAATTCGAATAGTGGCTAAAATCTACTGAAATCAATAATTTATTGTATAGTCCTTTGATGTCTCCTTACAGTTATTCAAACAGTTTTTGAACATAAGGACAGATCAATTTACAATGGTAATTATTTTTTTATCTACTATGATCGAATCATAATATTTTATAACTTAAAAACATTTTATTTTTAAATTGTGTGGATTTTCCGGGCAGTAAACAGGATTACCAAAAATGCTTACATCCTTTTTATACTTGAATAATGCATTTACACTCAAAGCCAATTTTCAGAATCACTAACAATTTAAATATATTTAAAGGCCCTATTTTCACATACTTTAATTTATATACGTTGAACGTTCGACATTTTATGAAGAGCGTCCTGCAACGATACAAATTATTTTTCTATAATCTGTAGAGCAGCTCATTTTTTATCTGCAATTTGATGTATTTAAGTCGAAAAAGTAATTTACGAGCTGTTTGAATTCGTAATAATAATTAATAATCCTTATAATAATGATTTTAAATCATATAGATAAATACCAACTAGTCAGTCTATAGTCACTCTATACTCTATAATCTATATAGTACCTACTTAATAAACCAAACATGAAAAACTAATTTAATTATAAATTACAGTTATTTTCAAATCAGTTCATAACGTTTAATATCTCAGAAACTACTGGCTTGAATTTCAATTTATGATAACTGACATTAAAAGAATAAAATAATCAGCTTATTGATTTGCAGTAGGTAAAAAAAGTGGTACTCATGAGATTTGTTTCGATACAAAAAAATCCTTAAATTACATAAAAATCTAAGTATTTAAAATATGGTTTTTACTCTTTAAACTTAAAATTACTAAAGGAAAAAATGAAGGTAAGCTAGCATCACAGAAGAATAGCATACTTGATGAATCATATTGTTGTATATATCATACATTTTATCTTTAAATTATTCTAAAAATAACATTATTTTAATTTAAGATTGAAACTAGTTAGTTAGTAATTACTAATTACTAATGAAATATAGTTGAAACCATTTAAGTTATTAATTAGTTTTAATAAGTTAATTTCAGTTCAATAAGTTTAAAATGTATTCATTATGAGACATTTAAATAATCATTTATAAACACATTTATTTATTGTACTATGGTAATTCAACAATAAAAAAAACACTTAAAACAACTTTATATTTGTGATTTGTATCATTGCTTATTGACGTAGTTGTACAAAATATCTACACAAGTTATCGGGGTGAAAGGTTTACTATAAATAATTTAGTGTTTTTAACTAGCCTAACTAGATTAAGGAAGTACTTAAGGTTAGGTTAAAATAATTTACTCAAAGTTATCCAATGATAATAAAATCAATAGCCTATAATGTATATACACGTGTGTGTGTGTGTGTGTGTGTGTGTGTGTGTGTGTGTGTGTGTGTGTGCGTGTATTGTAAATATAATACTCAATTATGTATCATCTGCATCGCAAACAAATAAGATAAATTACGATAGATGATAACGTACTTTAAATAATAATACATTTAATCCAATGATGTCATCGTTTAAAGGACTAAGATAGGACAACCTAATAACTAATTAGTAAGTAAATACTAATAATATTGTATGTGTATACTGTACCACTGCTATGGTTACGACTAACGATACATATTACCTATTCGAAAAACAACTTAAGGTCAATTAATATGGTACATAATAATTTATCAACGTAATACAATTTAATTTATAACTGTATTTTTCACAATTAAAAAAATGATACAATATATTTATTAATCACAAATATTGAAGTTGAAAAAACACTAACGAAGATACAAATATCGTTTTTGACGAAAATTAATTAAATATAAATTTATTAATTAGGAAGATTATTAGCTGTACATTGATATAGTCTTATGACTTATGAGTATACTATAATAATACGTACGAATTTAATATCCTAATATAGCGAACGTGTGTATACAAATATATAGTTTAATTTTTTTTAAATAATTTAAATGAAATGTATATTTATCCATAAATCGTTAATTGCCTACTCAATGTTGAGAACAGTGATACTTACAGGTGGTCGAAGTTCAAGTATAAATAATCATACTTTAGTGCCCCTTAAATTATTCAATCGTCTTGTTAATATGTGTAAAGTATTATTTTAAAATACTGAAGTGCGTGCATTGAAATGTTTAAATTTTTGTGTTAAATATAAAATATAAATACAATCTAATTAAAAGTAATATAATATTATCTACTTGGACGAAAAAGATTCGATAATTAGAAAACCATAACATATTCAATTAATTAAGTCAATGAATGTTCGAAAAGTGTATTTCGGAAATACATTGAAAAAAAATTATTTGGAAATTTAAGCTGATTTGAAAAAAAATGTAGAAATCATTACATAATAAATACGCTGATGGAAAATGAATAGCAATAATTTATAAACACAATAAATAACTATACAACCCATGTATTACTGACACATATGGTAGGAAGTTCAGATCTATATCTGCATTTTAATTACAACAAATAAATGTTAAACTAAATTGGCGAACTAAAAAGTAAGCTTCCGATAATTGCATGATTACTTTAACCAAGTTTATACTTGGTCATGCTTTTCATTTATTCATGATGAATACGATAGAAAGTGCAAAAAAATATGAACTTTAAGAATGAATAATAAATGAGAATGGGTATTACGACCTATACAGGTACTGTCGTACTGACTATACTGACTGTAATAAAATGTGCGAATTTTACATACATTTTATATGATGTAAAAACGATGTATCTATACAAAAAAATGTGAACGACCGTGTAAATACGATGTACCAATACATACATTTGAAGCGATCGAAAATACATAATTGTTGATCAATTCATGCCCACTAAAACGTCAAAGCTATTTGATTGTTTTTAAATTCATAATATTAAAGCATGACCAAACTTATGTATTTTAAATACAGGGTAATAATATATATTATATAAATTATTCTGAATAAACAAAATAGCTAACCCCACATGTCAATAAATACTTGACACCTGTATCTTTTCAACTAAAAAAATACAGGTAATGGACATATGTTACGTCAAGCATTCCTCATTCCTCAATACCTTCCCCATTTTTATCTTAAATAATTCGTTTATTCGAATTCTGAATTTTGGAATCCATATGTTCAAAAATATAAATCACCCTTTTTCCCTGTAAATTAATAAATCAATTGCTTTTTAGAAAATATCAACGTGTCTAAATTGAAATTCGAAAGAGTAGTTTTAAGTAATTTAACTTGATATGAATAGTAAGGATAATATTTCTATATAAGTAAAAGGTTTGAAAGATATGGTGGCTATATATATTATGATGACATTAAAATAAACTATAACAATGATTACTTATTAATCTATCAACATTTAATAACGGGTCAACATTGTCCCAGTATAATAATAATAATAATTATTTTTATCATAATTATATTATTTTAAATACATTATTATTACGAATCTACTAGATACTAGAACTTTAGATTAATTCTATAATTTATATTTTTTTTAAAAACATTTTTAAACGCCATTCTTAGTTAATGACACAGAAACATAAATTTGGACACATCAACATCAATATTTTCAAAAATATCATCGTCTTAACAATTCTCCTCTAAAGTAGCAAAATTTTACATTCATAACTTTATCTATTTGCAAATTTAAAGGTAAGAATAATATCCTGCTTAGGCTTTTTTTTGTGATTTTAGTTTTGAAACAAATTATGAACTTTTATTATAAGATTTGAAAACAAATAATTTAAATAAGTAAAATAAAATTTTAATATACCCATAACTTGCTTCAAAATTAAAAGAAAACGAATTAAATTTTTATGATGTTTGGGTGAGACCACTTCGGTCCATTAGTTATCGCAAAAATCATCTACATCGGAGTCATTTGAAAGACTTCCAGTAATTGGTTTTTGTATGAAGTTTTGGTTTAATTTGCTCGATATGACAGTTTCTAATTTATTTTCTATTATTGGAGTTGTTATTTTTATTTTTATTTTTTTTTGGGGGGGGGGGGAGACGAATGATTAAACCACCAACACCTAACCTAACGGAGTAACTATTACACGAAACAATTGTATTAATAGAAATTAAAATGTAACATGGACCAATCATAAAAATAATGAAAAAATAATAATTAAGTATAATTAAAAAGTTTGTGCATTCGTCAAAAAGCAGGGCTCTTAAATCACAGGTGTTTTGTGAATTCAACTAACAGGCATTTAAATCTAAAACAAGGAGATTGATAAAAAACTAAAATTTACTTTATATACTTTATATACTTTATCTACTGTTAATCATACATTCATCCATCTCTAAAAAAAATTACTATATCTAAATTTGACTAGAAAAAATTCAAAACGCATGTACTAGTGTTTCTGAGTATAACCCAAGTGTAAAAATGATTTTTTTGCTCGTTTAATTTGTCTACAAAAAATTATATTGTTGTAAATCAAGTCCCTTATGTATCTACCTCAATATAATTGAACTTCTTAGTTGTATATGAAATAATATATAAAATATAAAACATAAATGATTTACTCACCATTGGTAACACGAATCCGTCGTTATAATCTGTGTGTTCTCCAATTAAATTTACTCTTCCAGGCCCAATACCTAATTTATCGGGTTTTTCACCATCTGGAAAATGTTTTGCGAAAAATTCAAACCCTCTTTCTATCAGTGCTTCGGTCGTTTCTGTTTTAATTATCGACATTTTGAATCTAAATCATATACAGGTACATTTTATTATATTAATTATTACTGTAACCAATAATTATATTGTCAATTCTGTAAAAAAATAGAAGTATTCAATAAAACTTATATATACGAGTATAACCTCGTAAATAAACTAGTATTTATGTATTAGGTATATTCATTGTGTACAATTTATGTCTCAATTATTTAGACCATTCCTAGTTATTGCCAACTACTAAGTGGCAATATGATTGTTTTTAATTTTTATTAAATATCAAAAAATTATTTTGGCCAGTCACATTGATAAGTCATAAAGGTTAATAATGGCTAATGAACTTCGAGAAAAGGTATACAAAAAATTGTTTATATGTTATGAGTTAAAAGTTGTATATGTGAAGAGGACACAATAATGATACCACAGTTTGCCATATTTTAAAGTAAATGCGATTAGAACATTATTATGTGCATTCAAAATTTAGACACCGGGATTTTCTTCGATGTGTTAGTTTTAAAAATAGATAAGTACTTATACTCGTATATATTTTAAGGATTCAACCAATATAGCAATAATAAAGTAAATATTTCACTTTAAAATTTTTTTTTATAACATACAATTTCACTAAAATTTGATTTTAAAATCCACACAATTCAATAATCTTTAACCTTACGTATAGAAATAGGTCAATTTATTTATTATCAAACATAAGTGTATTGAATATTGATTAGTGGTGCAACATAAAATGTAGTTTATGATAGACAAAGGCGACAAATAATTGGTATCATATCCTCTTAAGAAATTGGTATGATTTGATACCTCCGGCGCAACGCGTAAATACCGACCTATATCATTAAAAAAAATATAGGTTCATATTTTGTTTAAGTGCATTGAGTTATAATTTTATACTTTATAAATCCAATACAATGATATTTGAACTAAAGTGAATTATGAAAAACTACTTTCCGCGCTGTTTTTTTTATTACGTTTTCATTTTAAGACATTTTTTTTATTAGCGTGAGAGTAAATTATTTATTTCAATTAAAGTTTAAGGAAATACAAAATAATATTATTTTGATAGATATACAAAAAAATGATAAATTAAATGATATGATATTATAATGATTATAATGATGATAAATATTGTAAAAAATATATGTGCATGTCAATTAGGTATATCAAAATATTAAAAAATATCTATAGGTTCACCTATAGATAAAAAATTATACAAACATTAACGTTATCATACATTATCAGAAATCATATTTATTCGTCGGGCCATTTTTAAAGAGCTGTTAATTTTATTTAATATATTATTTTGAATTCTGAGCAAACAGCCATTGCAAATAGAGGCGTAGCTTGAAATTTGGTGGTCCTGTGGCCTCTTTCTCAGTACCTAGGAGGCCTAAATTTGCCATTAATTGCAGGTGTCACAATTTTTTTGTTTTTGGTTATAAAATAATGAAAATAGGCTGCGCTTCTATACACACAAAGTTGTATATATAGATGGTATAGTTTGATGATGTAATTTTTTAATCGGTAATTTTTTTAAGTGTTAACTGCTAAAAATAAGCAAATGGTGATTTATACAATACGAAAAATTGGTTAAGGTTACAAATGTCTTAACGTTAGTATATATAGGTAAGCACCGGTAAAGTGATGTTTTTACTCCATTGTTGTTCTTCCATCATTTCGGGCAAATGTTTGTGACACTAAATAATAATTAATAGACCCCTCTAATTACTACGTGCATAAAATACATAGTACGTATGAACTAATTATTAAGGTGTAACATTCATTATTTCAAAAATCATTAATGTTTTTAAAAATATTTTTTTTTTTTTAAACAATATTTGTACAATATTATATTCTGTTTTTATTGTAATTATGTTTAAGGTTTTACTTTTTTAAATTTCAACACTCATTTTAAATTTCATATTCCTAAGCAAAATATTATTCGGAGTACGTCAATCTATAAAAATCAAATTTTTGACTAAAAATTAATCACATAGGTAGTTATAAGCATTTAAAGTTTATATGAGTGGAGTATAGATGGTACTTAAGTGGATCAAAATTTTGTGGGGTACTCCTAAGATATTGATCATATGATATCTAAGAATACTTCTCTGATAGCAAATTCACCAAAATTCGATTTTTATACATATATTGAAGTATACATGAAAATTATGTTGTTTGGGAATTAGGAATAAAATGTATGTTGTCTTTGAAAAAAAGTAAAACTTTGTGAACGATACTTTAAAAAATAGTAAACAAATATTTTTTTGTTTTGAAACGACTTAAAATGTAGTAAAAAACATATTTTTCAAAACGTTAAGAGGACGCCATATTGCCATACCCACATGCGTTGTCTCCATCTTGAAAATGCATAACATAGCCAATAGTACGTTCTTACTAACTTAACTCTGTTATACTACATTTTAGAATGAACTTACCTATTAACAAATTAATTAGAATAAGTAATAATATTATTCAGTCAATGACATAGGGGTTTTTTAGTTTAATTTTAAAGCTAGCATTTTAAAATAGTAAATTGTTGCACATTTTAAAATGCTCATAACTATATGTCTATATCTTTAAAATCAAAAAATTTAAATACCCTACGCCATTAACTAGATGATATTGTTAATTTTAAATTTGGTAATAGGTCAATTCACTCTAAAATTTAAAACGAAATATAATTAAATTAATTATTAAGAACGTACAATTTACTATATTATGCATTTGTAAGATGGAGACGACACGCATGCGGATATGGCGTCGTCTTAATAGTTTTTAAAATAATGATCGTTCTTTGATAAAAATAAAATTACCCCGTAGAGTGAGTGAAGAGAAAAAATTATAGGTAAGTAACTTAACTGCGTATATATAATAATAAATTCTCGTTCTTCACAGACCTACATTGTGCCTATTTCATAAGCCCACCACAAGATTAACATTCTAATCTCAGTATTTGCACCCCCACAAAACATAATAACACCATTTTAAGTATTAACTATACGCAAAAACTGGTTTTCTAAATAATAGCTCTTCTAACTCATAGTATTCGATTAGCCTTTAGAAATTAGTGTATTCATTAATCTATACCATGGAGCCATGGACCATGGTAACACAATACACATATATTATTATTATATGACATCGATTTTAATTAAAAACATTATATTATAATATATTTATATATATCGCATTAATATATTATGTTTACTATATGGACACTTATAAATTATGAAAAATATAATTTACTATATAATCATAGTCGTTGAGTTTTGAATAATTATATGAATTTAAATAATATCTATTTCATACTTATCTCAAACGTTTATTATATATTATATACGTCAAAAGCTTAATAGTTATAAATTATAATCCTTCAAGTGATAGGTCTGTTGCCTAATCGGGTTATCTTGAATGAACACGAAAACTACTTACACGCGTGCTGTTATTTTTTTAACGATAAGTACAAAACTACAAACAATCGGGAATTTCGTTTTATTGAGTCCACTAAAACGTGGAGTGATACCCACATGGTGATACTGATGATAATTTATAACTATTACCTGCAAATAACATTTAACAAAATAAATTAATAAATACCTAACACGATAATATTATGTTTGTCAATGGTCGTACAGAATGTAGGTAATACATACTATTACCTATCCTATATAATATAATATTATATTATGTAACGGATTTGAATTTTAGAAACTAGGTAGGTATGGCATTTGTGTGATTAAACTGGTAAACGATTAAATAGGTATAATATATACCTGCCTATTAGAATTTAACCTACGTAGTTTTTTATTGTGGTTTTAAAACTACATTTAAAATGAGAAAACATCATCGTCATAATTATTATACCCACATGTTTTCGTCTGTTACATCATTATGTTGTTGCTGGTAAATTATATTGACTATAAATTAAAAACGTAATAACAATATAGTTATTATTCAATACAACAAATAACTAGACTGTCTACCGAAATGTATTTAACATTAGAAATTTCTAAATCACTAATGAACACGATAGGTTCATTTGAAATATTGATTAACAACTTTGCACGTCCATAACATGATAATTATCAAATCGTTAACATAATTAAAATCGTCGTGAACATTATAGTTAGTTACCTACTACCCATTAACTACTGTTGTCTATCGTTAAATCGTTGAAAATCATAATAACACCGATCGGACACGATTCAATAGATGATTACAATAAGAGTGAGACGAATTTTGATTTTTAACCACCGGAACATCTCTATGGGTTATAAATCGGTCACACGAGGGACAATAATCGTTTATCTATCAAAAAGCAAATACACCGAGCTGCCCTATGCATACAGCAGTACGTTCGAATTATTCACGTAACATATTATTACAATATAATTATATCGATTTTAAGATAAAATAATATACCTACTGCCTACTGGTATATGGTGCGATGGGTTTCAAAGTTCGAACAATATTCAAAATTATAGAATAAAAATTATTATTGCATGTCCATAAAGATTGTACACAAATAATTGCCCACTGTGGATGGGAGCTGTCTGGCATGACATTTGAAGAGACATCATTGTCAAATTTCATGATTTAGAGTGATTTAACGAGACCGCTTTGACGAACGACTTTGTTTGTGCGCCAAAAGCAGCGAGCTTAGGCATACGCATAACGCACGTTAATACGTCATATATTATTGTTATTATTATGTACCTAAGCAGTGGTAGGTACGTGATGTGGGACACAAATTTCCATGTGAATTACCCATTCAAAATAGACGGTTACAATAACTGCGTGCGCAAGTAGGTACACATCATAAATGGGCAGGTTACCGGTGCGCCTACCTGTGGAACAAAAACTAGACGCATTATTTTTCGTTTTTTTTTTCAAAAGTTCTAAAACGCACGCATTACCGGATGACAAAATATTAGTGAATCGCGAACACTGCGCATAATATTATTACAACACCCGAGCTATTTGAATAATGATAACGATTAATAACC